CGCTCCGACAACCAATGCGACCAATGCCTCCAGAAGGAAGGAGAAGGAAACCCTCTCGGACATTTCAGAGAGTGTCCTCAGATTTTCCATGTTGAAGCCGTTTACATAGTAGAGAGAAGGCGCGTACCCGGTGGCGGTGACTGTAGTCAGTATCGCTGGCATAACCATGAGGTGGCTCGTAGAGTAGCTCGTGTAGGTTCCCGCCACACTAATCGTCTCATTAGCGAACTGGTCTATGTAGGTTCCAATCAAGTTGTGGGTGCTGTGTCCGGCTTCCAATGCCCGTTAAAGTTGGATAAGAACATTGTACCGTCCTCGACCAGTTCTATACGCGCATCTATGATCTATGATCGATGATCAAGGCCTTGTGCAATAGGGTCGTAGCCGCATGCTGATCTCAGTCGATGGCATTGACCCTTGCAGTAACCTCGTTCAGTTGCCTCAGGGACTCGTGAGAGGCATCAAGCAACCCAGCGTTTATCCTTACTTGTTGGTCGGCCGTTTTTACGACATTTTCCTGAGCATGAAGGATGGCGTCCCAGTCCGACGCATCCGGTGAGCCCGCAATCCATTTCCAGGTGGACCCAATCCAGTCCAGAGATCGACGTCCCCGCTGTGCACCCGTCAGTCTCGACAGGCCGTCCTGTGACTCCTCCAAGTATTACGCCACCAACGCCGCAATCCGGGGATCTGTCAGCTGCATCGCCTCGCGTTGAGCCTCTTGGATCAGCGACTCGAGTCTTCCTAAGTCGATTACATGTGCCAGTTTGAAATGGCCGTTGACGCGCCAGACGGTGACCTCTTGTAGCGGGACGAGCGGAGCCTCATATTTAAAGATGTCTGCGGCCCCCACCATATGGGTGACAATGATACTTGCGATATTGGTTGGAGAGAATAGTCTTATGAGTCAAATTCTTTTTCATGATGTTACTTAAATTATATTATCGTGGTCGTGTAGGGGAGGCGTGTAAAACGCACACAAACGATCTGATGCCATTTCAGTTCCGTAGGTCTGACTTATGGAAGATCTTGCCTGTCTTGGCCCTCGGCCCTCTCCTCGGCCTTAAAACGTTGCTTCTCTTTTTTTTTTATTTGTTTATTGGCCACGAATATTTTGTCACCCTCGTTATATAAGATAGGCTCAGACCTTGTCTTATTATGAGCCGCGTTTGCGAGCTCTTGCCGGTATTCAATCAGACCCCGAACGTCCTCGAACCTCGAACCTTAGTTCTGAAGTTAGTTAGACCTTGGTAGTTGATTCTGGCCGAGCGGTCAAAAAACAGGTCCACTGGTTTATTATTAGTTACTGAGTGGATAGAATTATTGTACCTATCCACCGCAACGGCAACCAATTCATTTAATTTGAAGCCAGGGTGTTCGCGCTTGAAACACCGGAAGATCTCGAGGAAGGTAGAATGAAACCTCTCGATTTGACCATTGACTTCGCTTTTCTGGGTCGGCGTGTTGTACAGACCGATACCCAATGTACGCAGGTAATTCAAAACTGTTGGGCACAGAAGGCCTCTCTCATTGTCAGAGACCAGTACCCTCGGGACAGTAAAGTAGTGAAGTACCTTAACTAGTTTTTCCCGTAGATGAATCGCGGATTTCGATTCGAGAGGGAAGAGCTTGGCAAATTTCGTGAGCTTGTCTATGCAGCTCAGGTAAATCTTTTTTCCCAAGGTGAAAATATCGATGTGAAGAATTTCACACGGGTACTTTGGGATAGGTGTCGGTTGAGAAATGGTTTATTAGGGTGTCTCTCGTACTTGAAGAGCTTACAACACTCGCACGACGACAGTTGCCTGCGGATGGTACTAGCCATCTGGGGGAAATAGTATTTCTCCAGAAGCTGCAGGCGCACCTCTCTGGCACCCCTATGGACTCTGCGATGTTCTCGTAACTTCGCAGATCTCTTCGGCATCCGACAAGTCCATAACCAGCCTCTGCGTTATTCGAATTTTGAACGCGGCAATATTCCAGGCGAAGGTTCTTCCAGTGGCTATCATAGTCGTTACTAAAGACGATGATGTCATCAATGTAAACGTAACAGATTTTGCCGATGTGTTCCCGAAGAACGCCATCGATCATTCGTTGAAAGATGGCCGGGGCGTTTTTCAAACCGAAGGGAAGGCGGAGGAACTCATATTTCCCGTTTAGGGTGGAGAATGCCGTTTTCGCCGTATCGGACGGTTTTATGTGTATTTGATGGAACCCCGAAGTAAGTAACACTTGAGTGTTGTGAAGTATCTGGCCCCGCCAAGGCTAGCCAGCGAGGCTAGGGCACCGAGGGGGTAACTATTGGGTTACGGGCTACATTTTCAGATTCTAAGTATTCATCCTATTATTAATTTTTCTCATGACTTCTTTAAGCCCGGTCATTTGGGCAAGGAGTGCATTAAGTGACGGATTTTTTCAGATAGTAAATAGCTCAGATAGTAAATGTTGTTTCACTCACCCTTAGTTAGTGTTTATCCTCGTGTGGACGTGTTGAAGTGTTGAATGTATCGTTTCTTCTTAGTGTCTGTAGGAAGAAAAAGAATATTTTCTCTTTTAGTTTTATTGCGGTTTTTTTCCTTTTTTTCCTATTTTGTTATTTCTGTTTCTATTTTATTTAGCTTTTAATTTATTCAGTGTATGTCGACAGTGACGGACGAACTTTGTGTTGGGTGGAACTTAGCACTGGGCACTGGGCACTGGGTCCGTATTTTTCCTTTCGGGTAAAGGCCTTTGCCTACTAGGGTACGGTTGCCACACAATCCACTGGGCAGCTTTTTCGGGCGCCTCCGCATCGCTCAGCCTATCCAGCAGATTGCCACCCGCCTTAATTCACGATTCACACTTTATTTTGATATTATTCTTCTTGTTTTATCTAGGTTTTGGGTTGACGCTATGAGCTTTGCACTCGCGGCTGTAGTCAAATCGCCGCAGTGGGTCACTACATAGGTTCCCTTTTTTTATATTTAGGGTAGACACTTTACGCCCGCGTAAAATGTGCGCCGCTCCTGGACGGAGGCGGCATTAACGCTGCTGCAGGTAATCTTATGTTTTCGTTTTATACGATTTTTTGCGCCTATGCAGAATGTTGTTCCAGCTACAGGTTGTAGCGGCATTCTCACTGCGGCGGGTGATCGTTTGTTTTTTATAATTCCACTTCCACATCACTGCCACTTTGTCACTTGTCGTTACTCACCACATTTCGTGGTTTACTCTTTATCTTTTTTTTTAGTTTTTTTGTTGTGTTTTTTTTTTTCTGTTTTAACCATGATAGTCAGGATTCTGACTGTTCGGGTGCCAGTTAAGCGAGTGCTGTTTCTCGCTTCGTTCTTGCGGCTCTCGTAGCCGCATAGCTCACCTATTCAATAGCAGGAGCATTCCGGATGCTTTCGTGGATAGTCGCCTCGTCCTTGCCAGGATTCTCCGGAGTAAATAAACAGTCGCTGTTTATCGTACGTTATAATTTTATTGTATGAGCTTAAGTCGAGATTACAATGATTAGCTGGAATTTAAGCAAGTGTGTTGATCGGTTGTCCGTGGAAGACTGCCTTCTGGCGTTGGTGCTGGCTCTCACTAGCTCTCCGGCCCCCTTGCTGAATGCAGCGTTTTTTAGACAGCGCAGGGCGAGGGGCGACCCCGCGTAGTTGTCGGGTAAGCGGCCGAAATGTGAGCCGTGCTATGTCAGCGGCTGTGGGCAAGAGCCCGAAATGTGACCCACACTATGTCAGCGGTCGCTTACCCAATATCCGGCGGCTGCACTGCTCCCAGCAACAAAGTGTCGTCTGCAGACGCAGCACATTGTAGCCGGCGTGGCTGTCGAATCGTCGTCGAGTTAGTGTGCAAGGCGGGGGGCGAAGTCAGCGTTCTTACGGAATGCACTTAGGAGTGGTTGACCGTCAAGTGGCGCAACGGGAGTGCGCGTATAAGGCGGCGTTCGGATAGGGGAGGGAGGAATATACTTGGAGAGGGTTCATAACATATATTATATAAATTTAAAAAAAGCACCCACATCAGCCCGTACAAATAAATTAAATTACCGCAAAAAGGTGCCACGGCGACAATTTTTGGATGTGTTTATATTATATTCGTATTTTCTATTTATGTGCAAATTTTAAGTATTCTTATTATTCTTACCAATAATATAAAAAAATGTTTCATTACTGAATAAAAGCCGACTAAACTTTTCTCTCTAATTTACATATATAGCACATATGTTGATGTTTGATGAAAACCATTCATATAACAGTGTCAAAATATGCTAGTATTTCTATCATTTTCAATATATGTAAATTTAAAGAACATTTACACTTCCTAATTCCTATAATGACTTTGATAGTTCACAGTTCGTTGTACTGTTCTGTTAACTAAAGGTAAAAAGTATATTTTTAACGTATACTATAAACATTAAAAAACATTGTAAATTAAAACAAAATTCCGTTAACGACAATTTTGCCGATGTTGTTCTTTTCAGTAAAAACTTGCTCTATTTAATACTAATGGAAGGAAGATTTTAATTTTTTACAGAACGTTGCTATTCCCACAGACCTGGTCGTGGGTGGTATTTTGAAAAATTTTAGTTTATTTTATTATTTTCTTACGATATACCAAAAACATTTTAGGCAAGCCCATTATAATGCCAAAAATAACTGCCCAAGTCGCCCATACTTCTGAAAATATTTGATTAGTTTTCATGTGTCTTAATTTTTTTAATTTGCCCAACGCATTTTGACCACACCCACTCCGTGCGGGTGTTTTGATTTTTTTTTTTTCGCTCAGCAATGGATATTCCAGACAAATGCCGAAATTAGTAGTTCGAACGCCTATTAGCTGAGTAAGGGGTATCTGAACGTAGAGGATCTCTATTATAGCGTTCTCTTTTGTGTTAATCTGTTTTAGGTTCCATCTAGGTTTTCTCTTGGATTATAAACCTGCTGCGGCTTGCAAGGTCAAATCGATCATTGTGGAAACGGGACATTCTGTGAAAAATGAAAACAAATCAGTGGGACACAGCTATAAAAAATTGAATAATAAGACCGTTTTATAATAAATACTTTTGCGTACTGTTTTATTTGTAACCGTAAATAGTGGAAGAAAACATCATTTTGTATTATATCGTTATTGTAAAAACGAAGTTTCCATTTGTGTTAAATGGCTAACTCTTTGCCGCCCATGAGCTGTGTAAGCATTTTAGATTCATTGGTAAACGGATGATATTAAATTTCTTCTTTTCAGGACGCTGAGACCTATAGCAAAAATGAGGAAGATGTGGAACCCAAATTTAAGTACCAACGTCTTGCAAACGATTTAAAAAACATACTTAATGCGGATGTTATTACTTGTAGCGCTGTACACTTGAAGGTGTGACCTAACCATATTTTTTATAGTATTCTAAAATACATACATATAATAGTTTCTTATATTTGGAACATTCCGAGGACGTGTTTATATATTTGACCATCAAGGAAACTCAGTCTACTCAAATCTGAGCAATAGCGAACGTTACACTCATAAAGTGGCAGTAAACAATATTGATATCGACCATAAAGGCGAGTATGTGGCCACATGCTCCGACGACGGAAAAGTGAGTCTCTGAGCTTGGTGGCGATAGAAAACATCCTTCTCTATTCCTAGGTCAACATAACGGGGTTATTTAGCTGCGAAAGCAATCACAGTCTCAGCTTCGGCAAATTTATAAAGGTCGTATCACTGGATCCGGATTCCAAAGCTCACATTAAGAGATTTGCTGTGGGTATGTAGTTTAAAATCTCTGTCAAATTATCGCCATTAAATTTTTTTTTTTTCGTAGGCGACGACAAACTTATCTTGTACGAGCGTAACTTGCTAAATAAGCTTAAACCAGTTGAACTGTGCTCAGTCGAAGGCAGTGTTTTGTCGATCTGCTGGCATGGCAACTTTATTGCCTGGGCGAGTCACATAGGTGTTCGAGTCTACGATTTAAACGAAAGATGCTCACTTGGATTAATAAAATGGGAGGTTCCTTCTGAGGAGCGATTAGAAAATTTTCGATGCCACCTTCGGTGGTCCAACAATCATACTTTATTAATTGGCTGGGTAGATACTATTCGAGTTTGCGTGATTCGAAAGAGAGATTCAATCGAAGCTTCAACTGGCAAACTGCCAGTCTACATTGTGGATCCAAGTATGTAAAGTCTACTAAAACTATTAATTAAATTGGAACCACACAGTGAAGTTGATAATACTTAAATTTTTAATGTCATTTTACCATTGTAGTCTCAACATTTCAAACAACTTTCTACGTATGTGGGCTTGCACCATTATCTGTAAAGCAATTGGTGGTGCTTGGCTATCGCAAGGAAAAAAGCTCTTCTTTTAAAGCCCTACGACCTGTATTATGCGTTATTGAATATAAAATGAATAACAGCGAGGAAATCTGCACAGATAGTTTAACTTTACGCGGCTTTGAGGAGTACACCGTGAATGACTATAGCTTGGGTGGCATAATCGAGGAGAATCGTTTTTATATTGTGGCCCCAAAGGATATTGTGGTAGCTAGTCTTATTGAAACAGATGATCGTATAGAATGGTTGGTTAAACATAGGTAAGCCAATACTTTTCTTTATTTCTTTTAAATATTTTTTTATGACATTGTTAAACATCTCAGTTACCCTGCAGTTTCATTCACTACACTTTCATTGGTGTATCGCCGCTTAATTTGTATGAAAACTAGAGATGACTTTAACATTGGTATGTCCTAGTGATTTATCGCTAAGACAAACCATTACAAAAACACCACTGAAACTACGCAAAATCACAATTTCCCCACTAATTTTCGAAGAGACAAAAATCTTTATAGCTTTTTACTGATTTTTCGGGTCCATTTTTCATTGACCTTACAGTGATTACTCAACAACACATTTCATTTATTAATAAAAATGTATTATTTTTAATTTGGACTCATTATTTAAATTATACAACAAAATTAAGTTTAAGCATACAAATATAAAATTCCAACTTGGGCGTCTTTATCAGAAGTTGAGTCCAGCTTCTTTTCAGTTGATTTGGAATATATGACCACATGATTAATTAACCTTGAAGTAAAAATATTTTTATAGCAAGACAAAAATGTATTAAATCAATTTATCTTAAATGAATACATTATCTGGAGTATTTAATGAATTAAATTCACAGATACTTACATTCTAGCACTCACTTTGCTTTTTCAAAAACATCTAATCGTAGGTACACAAGAAGGACGCGTGCCTTTGAGAAAAGGAATCTGTTAACTCATTTCATTCTCTCTTGTTATTTTCCTTTTGTTCGTTCCTGTCTTTTTACTTTTGATGCCTCTGCCGACTGAGAATGTCGTCTCTGCTAGTACATAATGAAAAAGTGATGAATATGTTGATGATGATGCTTATAACTTATAATTTACTCGATACTTACCATTTCGATACTCAAAATTTGTAGGAGAGACATCGTGCTCGAGAGAGTCGTTGAGAGTATCAGCTGATTTTGTGATGCTTTTTAAATAGCGATGAATTGCGGAACTGCAGGATAACGAAAGGTTCAACTACATAACTTTATCAGATATCGAGCTCAAATAAATACTCCATTCAATGACTATTTCTAAACTACTAAATCAGCAGCCATAAGTATAGCTATTCCGAATGCTTACACAGTAACTTTTAATAGTAGAAATCAAGGGCATTGACTACACCAAAGACATTCGAATAACTAGATGCGTAACGCCATACGATTTTTTGAACACGATTTTTTCGTGCTGCTCCAGGCTCTCGCTGGAGATTAATAGATTGTTTAATAGCCAGAGAAAGAGAGAAAGCGCTCCAGAGTCAGCAGCTCTCTTGTCGGCATACAGTGACAGCTGACCAATGTATGTGCGCACACGTATTCTCATGCATTAGTGTATCATTAGTGTATTAAATATGCGACTTGTGAAAATTATGCGAAGACAATGATTTCGCAATTTTAACAGGTTGTATATTTTAATATTTCTTTTATAATATGGTTTTTTTTATTATATTTATTAGAAAATGTATTGTTACTACTTGTGACTATCACATAGAAACTGCTAATATTTTTTAAATTTCAGTGAATATATAGGTGCTAAATATTGCAATGATAAGAAAATTGTTATTGTTTAAGTGTTTTTAAAATACAGCGCGATATTTTGAATTTGAATGGTACTGGTATTTATTTAAACTAAATTTAATTGGCCCTATTTATTTATAAAATCTAATATAATAATCTATAACGAAATTGCTAAAATCTGTAAATGAATAAGTTTCTTAGATGAAAATTGATTTCCGTTTGAAAGTGTGCGCACATACAGACTTGCTTGCTTATTTTTTTAACTCACTCAAGAAATTAGGTAAAATTTTTTGATTAAATACCGATCTTAAACAAATAAAATATTCTTCAGAGCAAGGAGAAAGGCGCTTAGATCCTGTTCTGTCCTGCACTGTAGGCCATAGAACAAGCAAAAAAAACAACAAATCTGCGTCAGGCACAGGAAAGGAATGAGAGAGGAAACTTTATTAGTGAAAGAAAATAGTATTGCAAACAGACTAAGATAAGAATTGTAGGGGTACAGGGTTGTCGAGCACTTAATTCTCTTTTAAATTCAAAGTTAGGTTACGATTTGATACATGTCAGGAAAATAGTGCTGTTACTCATTCAATGTGCAATACTTACGTAAATAAAGCTTAGTCCAGTTCAGGTCGCAATGGATGAATCCAGCAAAATAAACTTTCTAGATCCTATCAAAAAGCATTCTAGCTTCCTTTACTGATAATCTTTTAAAGTTTTCTTAAACTTGTCTCAGGAACAAAGGGCAATTTTAAACGGCTTTGAATTATATGTTTTACCTCTTAATTTTAACCACCATTTAGGGGTGTTTTAAAGCTCAGAAATTATAAGTAACAAATAGTAAAATTGTTTTTGGATTATCAATAGGAATTGGCTGGACAACATAAAATGAAAAAAATGTAAACTGTTTTAAAATGCGTGGCCGTGTCGGTCGATTTGTGAGCGTTAGAGTGGGCGTGGCCAATATGTTCTTGGCATATGTATAAAAATTAGCAAAACAAATAGTAAAACGAAAAAACAAATTTTAAATCTTTTTAAATGTGTGGGCATAGCAATTTTGGGCGGTTACTCTACAAGTATAAATGTAAGTTATACAGCCAATTGTAGAGGCTGTACAGTGTACAAGGAGCTGAAAAGTTGAAGCACAGAGTACGAACATCAGTTAACAAAGGTTTTCTTTTTGAACTCACGACTACACTTGCCGCCTAACCGACAGAGGATTCGCGAGAAGATAGACGCGAAATAGGAAATAGTAATGGAACGAAGAAATGTGTGAATATAAGTAAGATATAAATATGTGTTATAAAAAGTTAGTATAGATCGCTTTAAGAGCGGCAGAGATTCAGGAATAGAGGTAATAGGATAAAGTATATTACAGTCAGAACACAATACTCCTTAGGGGTTGTGCAAATCATAGTTAGATCTACAATGATTTAAAATTAGGGCTAAGTAGTTTCTAGTGAATCTGCTTGGAACAGTGAAGTTTAGCCGACTAGCCAAGTCGGGACTATCATATTCACCACGAATCAGATTACAAATAAAGACTGTTCCAAGCATTGTCTTACGGTTATTTAGGGAAGATAAATTAATTAACATCAATATCTCCTGGAATAAGGAGGTAATATAAAGTTTGGTCATGTAAGTTTTATTAAATTCCTTTGACCACATTTTTACAGAACCAAGCTCTCCCCTGACCTTATTGACAGTAGACGAAATATGGTCTGCTTAGGGTCTAAGTTTATTACGTTATCACGGCACCATGTTTGAAAACTATCTAGAGTCTATCTAAGTCCGAATGGCAAGAAATGTCCTTATAAATCAGGCATAATTTAACATCGTCTGCATACATAAGTATACGCGAATGTTTTATTACTAAGGGAAGGTCGTTTATAAATAAGGTGAAAGGGAGCCGAACAAGGTGGCTCCCCTGAGGAACGCTGGATGTGACTCGGAGAATACAAGAAAGATCATTTTTAAAGAGGACCCGTTGCGCCCTGCCGTTAAGATAACTTAAAATTCAATTTAGAAAATCAACAGGGAAACGTAATAAATCAAGTTTCCCAACCAAAAGGATTATCGAAGTCAAATTATTTACTAAAGTCAGTGTATATGACATATGTTTAAAAATTATTTTTTTTGAAGCCCTTTGTTACAAAGGAAGGTAGCTTCTTGATTTGGTTCTTCATCTGCGCTTCAAAAAACATTGCTGGCAAGGTGATATAATTGATCTAAAATTTGCTACATTTTTTATGGAGAGGTATCACAAAGGACTCCTTCCATATATGGGGGAACTGTAAAGAATCCAGAGATAAGGTAAATAGTTTCAGTAGAGGCTTGCACAACGCATCCGAACAAAACCTGAAAAGCTGAAGATCGTAAAGCCGTGAGCTTTTGTTTGGAATGGGAAAAAATATTGAATTCGGCTTTAATTAATAGTAAGGCTGTTCAGAATTAGGTAATGTAGAATACGTTGTTTAAAAAAACTGGGCAAATAGATCGTATATTGCCTGATTCGATGTTAAAGTAGTATTTTAAAAAAATAATGAGAAAGGCTAAGAAATTGGTTTGCGCTTAGTGTTAGCGAAATTATAAAATTGTAGCACAGTTCGCACAGGAACTGGAATTTACAACTGTTGAAAGTTATTGTAACACTGAGCATTAATCACTGTAAAACTTAACAGAGCACTTAATTATTTAGAAAAAATAGAATAAGAACCGGTATCTATAAATTTCGAATAATATCTGGACTTTACATTTCTTAGGTTTGTCAACTGATTATTAAACCAAGGAGGTTTGTTGGAGATAGACGGATAGTACATCCGAACTCAAAAGTTAAAAAATGATTTGAAAATATTTATAGCATCCGCCATTTTGTCGCGCAATTAAAGATACGACTAATTAAAGTCAATTAAGACCAATTACAATAATTTCGATAGTAAGATTAGATGTTACTTTATTAAGGAAGAAGAGGAAGAATTAGAAGAGGAGGCAGTGGTCTGGCCACGTGTGGGAAGTTTAATTGCCACGTACCGTTTTTTCCTATTTTTGATCTTAGCTTCCGACTAAAATACTTCTGACTTCTTAACTATCCGACCAAAAATCACCATAACATATAATATAATCAAAAATAGCTCATTAGGGAGAGTTACATTAAAAAATGAAATTTCCCTAGCGAAAGAAAAGTTAATTTTTTTCAACTTTTATGTTATAGACTTTTGTTTTGCCGATACCACTTTTTGCAGCTAACCACCAGCGTCTTTCTTGCGCTTTTGCGATTCCTCAAATAGCTTAAGTCTATTAAAGTGCGAATCTAGAGCAGAAAGGAGATTGTCAGCTCGACAAAAACTATCTCTAGCGACGCCAAAACTGCTGATCTGTCCTTTTCAGGCACCTTTAGTTTGGCGTAGAAACGATTTCACCTCGATCGCAACCCATAGGCCGCTAGAACCAGTGCACTTAGTGTGCACATATTACCTGACGGCATTTGTTTTGGAAGCATAATTTCCATAATTTTTTTAATTCGGTGCACTGTACAAAGAAACAAATCCGAAACTTGCGAGCGAGCAGCTAAATGTACCGCAAGACCGCAGTCTTCACGCTTAGAACTGTGGATTTTGTATGCACAGTACGGGTGCACAGTACAGTTAATGAGCACACAAAAACAGCCCCGAACAGCACTACAGACAACGAACGAAAGGAAGAGTAAACAAAATGCAAAAACAAATAAAAAACTAAAAAAACCACAAAAGTTAAAAAAACTTTAAAACTGGACTAATCTGTAAAGATTCAACCGCGAAGCGAATGGTTTTTTATTAAAGAATTTATAGAAATCCACCGCTGATTTCGGGAAAAGCAAAAAAATAAAATCGCAGCGCAGAAAAAAAACCCTGTTCGCTTTGAAGTGAGAAGACGTTGAGGGTATCACTTAAAGATTTGATTTGAATTTGAATACGTTCACATTCGGACATCCTTCATCCGTCCTACTTGTTGGTGATGAATCCAAAGAATCCTTGTGGTGTCATCTCTGTATTTTTGAATAAATTTTTTTCGTTTGTGTACTCTGCAAAGTGCGTCTGCGTTAGTGTTAAGTGTCCCCTCTTTATTGTATATGGTCCTAGCTGCCGGTCGAACCCACGCAGGAGTTCGTCGTATCTTCCCAGATATCTATATCTAACGCTCATGCGTTGATTGTTTTTAGATATAGGCAAAGAAATGTTTGACAATACATTCTGACTTTACTTTCATGTTTGACTTTACATTCAATATAATTCTATATATCCGTTTTCATGTGTGAACCTTCTGCCAGCAAGGCCATCTTGAAGTAAATTTTTCTTTTTAAAAAACAGTGATATAGTGGACTGTATTCTTATTTTTTATATAAATTTATTCTTTATTTTTTTTATCTTAACTGTTAACATTTATAATACTGGCAACGGACCTGCGAAGCTTATTGCTTGCTTTCTTTGTCTGTTGCGTATGAAATATATTATTAATATTACATTGATTACTAAAGCACTAATTAGGCTTGCATGTTCGGAAATATGATGGAAATCTGGATCCTTCAATTTGTAATGATGCTCTTTTATGTATTTAATTGCATTATTCAATCCTTCAAATTCAAATGAATGAATCTCACATTCATTATCACTCGCAGAATTTCTGTAGCTTCCTCCATTATGCGATAAGAATCTATTTCAAAATTATAAATTAAATATTCGGATATTGGATGCCTACTAAACAGAGGCTCCAATGATTAGTGCAATGATTTGCACGAATGATTAATTTGTCCTCGATAAATAAACCCCTGGCTGTTAACAGCGTATATACACCTCCTTAAGTTCCGTTCCTGACCGTTTTCCTGGAATTACTAAATTTCTTCATTATGTAATAAGAATCTATTTCAAAATTATAAATTAAATATTCGGATTATTATCTGATTTTCATTCCAAATTGACCGTTTCCCTGGAATTACTAAATTCTCAGAAAGAAAGACTGCTGAATTTTTGCAATTTCCTTCTTAAGCTGATTTGAGCTAAAAATATTTGTATTTTGCCTATCGTAATAAATATCAATTAAGCTGCTTAATTGAATTTGTTCACTTTCTTCGATCAAGGAAAGCAGCTGTTTCGTAATCATAAAGAATTTTATCTATTCCTTATTAAACATAATAATTTTCTTTAAAGACTCCTGTAATGTTGTCAATTCTTATTTTCATACACCTAAAATTTACGTTAACATCTTTGGTTGTTCTTTTTAATAAATTAGTAGTTGAATCAACTACTGATGTTTGTTTTTGAATAAGTGTATCAAGGCTGTTCTAGTTTTCTAATAAATTCTTCATATTTTCTTCTAATTCTAATAATCCATAATACCATATAAAATATGATACAATTAACCCATAAATTGTAACGGGGCATTTATTGTTTTTTTAACTTTTCCATTTATTCCTTTGCTGAAGCGTATGAAAATCTTTCCTCATTTTTTTAATAAGGGTCATCCTATCCAAATTTCCGATACTTTCATCTTCCATCGGTTCGACTTTTCCTAAAGGCCTGTGTAAACCTGGTGTTAAAACTGTTGGTTGACCCATCTCATTAACTATAGTGTATAATGGTCTTGAGTTAAAACACGCTTCTATTTCTTCGTATGTCAAAATATTGTCGCCGATTATACGCTTCCCAAATACCTCCGAAGTAAGGTGCTGTTGTTTTTCAGGCTGTGTTTCTTAATAACAACCCTTTCAGCTATTTTTAGTTCGTCTACTGAAAGAATAGATGGGTCGACTTCATTTTCTCTTTTTATCTGCACATATCTATTTATGTATGCTATCATACGTATAAGCTTTTCTACACTGAAATATCTTTTTATTAACCTTACCTTAATAACGTATTTATTAAGATAGGTTCTTCTACAGACTGCTGCCGAGGCCAAAGTTCTTTTGGTTCAGCTATACTTGAAATGGCCCCCTTTTCACCAAATATCACATTTGGTTAATCCACTCCCCTAGATGCTAAATCTGCTGGATTATTCCCTGACTTAACATGATTCCATTCAGTATTTGTTAATTTCCGAATGTCATCCGTTCTTCTAATAAATTTGATATTACTTTGACCACTATTAACCCATGCTAAAGTAATCGTGGAATCACTGATTGATACTTTTAGCTTTTGTATTAAATCACTAAGCAAATTAGCTGCACACATTAGGTGCAAATTAGCAGCAAATGAGCTTGTTCTACTTTAGCATAGACTACTGCAGCATATCCTTCTTAGGAGGCGAAGAACTGTTTGAATTAATCCAGCTTGGGATTCATATATTTTCTAACAATAATACATTTTCTTTATATCTTTTCCAAAAATTTCTATCGTCAATGGATAATTCCTGATCCCATTCACTTTTATTTATCCGAAGTTTTTGAAAAAAAGTTTCCTAAAATAGTAACTGGTGCCAACCATCCTAACGGATAATATATTTTTGATAGCGTTAATAACACAACGCACTTATTTGTATGTTTTGATTTATTGCAATTTACGTTAAATTTAAATAAATCATTTTGAGGTTCCCACATCAGTCCTGAAGTTGTAATACATTTATTTTAATAATATTGATAATATTGAGAACCTTATTGCGCTCCAAAGTTGGTAATACTTTGAAATTGTTAGAAATCCATTTTCTTAAGTTGAATCCCACCCTCTGCAATTTTTGTAATATTTTTGTTATTAATTTATTTGGATCTGCCGAATCAGCTCCAGTCAGTAGGTCATTCATAAAGAAATCATTCCTAATTATTTCACTTTCTTTCTTTGTGATCACTATGGTGATCAATATTCGGATAGCCAGCCATTTATTTATACCCGTTGCTCGTAGAGTAAAAGTATCGCTATTGTGGTTGCTCTTCATCTCCCAGCTGTCCTTTTTTGTAATGAATCCTAAGATTGGTACGGTCCTCTCTTGTCTATCCGTTACACGTTACACTTTTTTAGGAAACCAATTCTATTCACTTCGGCTCTGAATTTTGGACTGAATATTTAATCATGAATTTGTGGAGTAACCTAGGCAGAATATGAATGTAAGGTTTAGTCAAAAAGGTGCTACTACTGGGTATGTGCTAACAGCCTAAAGATGCCAATTTAATCGAGATGAATTCGTTCATACGACAAACTAAAGGTGGCTTAAAGGTTCCGATTCTTGAGTACGGATCACCTGCTTGAAGTCCTGCATTTGAATCGCATTACTTATATTACGTTGTTTCCTTGATTCAGCAGACTACTATAAACGAAGCTTTGGGCAGTCTTTATTTGTAATCATATTCATGATGAAGTTGATAGTCTCTAACTAAAAATTCATCCCCTAATTTCACTATAGATCCAACTATTAGTTCCATGACCCCTACTGAGTATTATGTTCTGACTATAATAGACCCGTTAAGAAACTATAGCCTACCAGCACTTGTGGTACACTTAAGTAAATGTAACCGCGGCGCAATTAGTGTAATATTTTTAAACATTTTAAGGGGATCAGAAGACTAGGCTACTTCTTAAAAAGTCCTAAATATCGATACCAGTACCAGCTTTGTACAAACCAATAGGTTTGCTATGAAATCTTTCCGGCACATCAGTTTGGCTTACTATAAAAAAAAAAAATATTTAAAAACCAAAATACTGCAAAACGATATTTCTTAACGTTACTAGTCGAGAATTATTAATTGCATTTTATTTTAAATTTGACTGCTTATCTGTACAGCTGACATAGAAAAATCATAATAATAAAGCTAAGCTTATAATTCTGACTGGAAAATATACTTAATCTAATCCAAAATAGCTAAAATAATTAACTTACTCAACTTTTATTTGTATTATTTTAAAGTAAATTTGAGGAGGCAATGGAACTTATAGCTGCGAATGGAGGTAACATGCCTGTTCTTTCCGTTGCCAAGTGAGTAATGTATAAACTAAATCGTTTAAGAAGACTAATACTTACCATTATTATTTGTATAGACTTTATATTAACCATTTACTGGCGCTTAAGAAGTATGATGATGCAGCAAAGCTTTGCCTCCGCATCCTAGGCAATGACAAAGACCTTTGGGAAGAAGAAGTTTTTAAGTTTGTGAAGTGTCAGCAGCTACGTTCAGTTAGCGCCTATCTGCCGACATCCAACGAATGCAAACTCGATCCCCATGTGTACGAGATGGTTTTATACGAGTTCCTAAAATTTGATGTATGTGGTTTCCTGAATCTCATCAAGGAATGGCCATCTCATCTTTATGATGGTCTGGCTGTTATTAACGCCATTCATGATAACTTTCGTAAGCAACATGCTAATCAGTTGCTGGAATCTTTGGCTCTTTTATATTCTTATCAGGGGGACTTCGAAAGTGCCCTTCGCATGTATTTAAAGTATGTATTTAAGTCAATTAAAAGAACTGAGTAAAGTAATGTCCGTAGGTTGCAGAACAAGGATGTCTTTCAATTAATTCGTCGGTATGAACTGTACGATGTCATTTCAAAATTGATTATTCCACTTATTCAATTGGATCGTGAATGCGCCTTTGAAATACTACTAGACAAGACCAAAATAATGACTGAAATAGTTGTTCATCAGCTAGAACACAATCAAGAGTACCTATACTGGGTAAGTGGCGTTTGTAATATGAAAAAATATTTTCATTTCTTTTATTAACATTTCTTTTTTGCAGTACTTAGATTCTTTATTAAAAAAGGATCCCAGTAATGTGTTTCAAAAAAAACTTATCTCCCTCTATGCATTTTTTGATCGAAAGAAACTTTTGCCCTTTCTCGTGCGTTCAAAGGACTATGACATTCAGGAGGCGTTGTTCATATGCAAACAGGAAAACTTTTATCCAGAAATGGTCTACCTGCTCGGTTGTATGGGGGGCGTAGAAGCGGCCGAAGCACTTAACATTATTATTCACAGCGTAAGAATAAATAGGTGGAGATAACTTTAATATTCAATTAAAATTTTTCAGATCAAAGACATAGAAATGGCCATTGAGTTTTGCAAGGAGCATGATGACAACGATCTTTGGAATGCACTTATTAATGAATTTAGCAAGCACCCTGAAATTGTGACCAAAGTTTTGGAAGGCATAGTTGGTAAGTTACTTTGTAACTGGTAACATGTTCTTTTTTTTAGACTTTATTTTTCTTTTCATTAGACTACGTAAGCCCTGCGGTGGTTGTCGGAAAGATAAAAATGGGCCAGAACATTCCAAATCTGCGACAATCGCTTATTAAAATGCTGTGGCACTACAATCTTCAAGGTGAAATTTTATCCTCCGCCCAACAAATTAAACTTAATGATTACTTCGAAATTCACTCGGAGATAGTCACCAAGCAAAGACGTGGGCAGCAGGTTTCCTACGAACAACTATGCTCATTGTGCCACCGTTCAGTACTGATGATAGGTACATACTCTAATTGTATAATCAGGTTTGTGTGTGGTCATGTATACCATAAACCGTGCATACAAGGTAAATTGCAAAAAAACTGCATTGAGTGTAACCTTTGGAACTTAACCGTGGAGAAATAGGTTTATAGCGATATCATTTCCAACGAAATTAAAATTTTTGTAGCTATTTAATTCGTAGCTATTGATAATGACAACTTTTTCACTAATAAATTTAGTTTTAGCTATTTCTGATCCATTATTTCATTTTAATAATGCTGGGTGGATAAGGAAATATTATTGTACAGCGTGTGAGACATGCTAAAGAAAGAAGAAAAGACTCTTCTAGAGTTTTCTAGAGCAACCTGGTTTGGTAATCGTAATTTGTGCGGTCATTGGATACAACCGTCCGCGCTGTAACATCCATTAGGCAATTTATTAAATTGCGGCTGTTACACTAAAATTGAAGGAGTCCGATCAAAAAAGAAGCACTGCTAGAAGAAGGCACTTAGCGGTAGCTCACATTCAAGATTCCACAGCGTTTCAGAGGAATCAGAATTTAGTCTACGTCAACGTAGTTTTCGTTCCTCTTCCCTGGGTTAGACTCCATGGTCTTGACGACCCCGGGACCTTGTTTCGCCTCGTCAATCTGATTTTCGCGTATCCACAATCTTCTGCCTGGAAAACTTTAGGGTCAACGCAAATTGTTCTTACTTCGTAGACTTCGAGTCGCTGCAAACTTCTCGTCCTTGGCCGTCTTGGGTCTATACAAACTTGTACTTGCTTGACGTTCGGATCTTTAATAATTTCTTCTAAGTGGTGAAATTTCTTGTACTATGATACTTTCACAATTTTTATGGATGATGGGAAAGTTCGATTAGGGTTAAAAAACACATCTTTTTAAATGTTATTTTAAGTTTGAGTTTCTTTAATATTTGGAAGTAGAAAAGGTTTTTTGCTCCCTTTTATGATAAAATATTTAATGAATTAATGCCTAATTGGTCGCGGTTGCGCTGCCCACAGAAGTTGGCAGCGGCCTGACTGCACTCACTTATCCATAGAGCTGGTGGCAACGTGCGTGCGAGAGAAGTTGCATGCATCGCTTTTGTATTCTAATCATGGGAATTTGCCGACATTTGCACTTCATATACATTTGACTGTACGGCGTGGCGGGAAAATTTTGTTTTTCGCAAGACAGTCAAGTTTTATGGCCACGCTTTAATGTTACGTAAACACACTGTAACTAAATGTTGCAATATATTATGCAAACTACATCTCCCTCCTTTTGAAAAATAACTTAATATAGTTAAGGTTTTTTTTTTATGTATTTTTTTTTTCATAAAGAGGTGTATTTACTTTTTTCATATATATTTATACCCGTTACTCGTAGAGTAAAAGGGTATACGATTCGTTGAAACGTATATTTATTTATTTATTTAGAACATAATGTAGAATATATATAATAACGAGTTCGCTGTTGTAAGTTTTGAAAAAAATATAAGTTTTTATTTCAAGATAAAAATACAACTTTGAATCGGAGTCAATTCACGTCTTAATGGTATAGCGGATGAATTAGAACTAAACCTGGAGTGTGAGTTGAACGCTTAGCAAACCCTTGGTCGACTTTGTTTATATGAGCTTGAAGGCTCTCCTCTTTATTCAAATGGGTTGCGCTCTTTAAGAGATTTGCGCATGGAAAATTACCAGGATTTGTGCTGCGTAAGCTGTTTGGTTGCTTGGTGGGAATAATGAATTTCGGTATCGGCGGATGTTTATGTCTATGAATCAATTGTTTATGTTAACGCGGCCGAAATTGTTATTGTCGCCAAGAGCTTGGGATCTGACTTATGTGTTGGGGTAAATGGATTGGGTGGGTGTGATCAAGTGGTACATATGTACTGTGTGTGTGTGGTGTGTGTGTGTGACAAAGTGTTATACTATGGTACATATGCTACTTCCCCATCCTTAAGAAATTAGCCTGTCCTCAGGCGAATAATTTAGGATACAATACAGGATTTACATTATTTTCTATTTCTGTTACATCATTGTTTATAATATTTGATTCAATAGGAGTGGGTACTTGTCTTTTGAATTTGATTATAATTTTCTTAGGTATATTCTTATATTTGTAGATGTAACAGAATATTATTATGACAACTTAAACTATTAAAATAGTAAATGTAATTATTTGAAATTTATTATTTGCTTTGTTATGGATTTCAAAAATATCTTTAGCTTGTATATAAGAAAGGGCTTTTAATTTAGTGATATTGTTGTTAACATAAATCGTTTGTGTGTAATCTAACATAGTGTTTGACATTGAGATGTCTTCGATTTGTATGGAACAGTTAAAAGTTGTCTCCCTCTATTATTATATCTCTATTTATGCAAACTTTTTCGAAATTTGGGTAAATTAATATTGGTTCGGACATAATTAAAAATTTTAATTTTTCGAAGGCTGATATATACTCGGTATCTTTAGAATTTATAACAGAACCTTTTTTTAGTTTTTGTGTTATGGGTTTAGCAATTTTTGCAAAGTTAGGGATAAATTTACGGTAGAAACCGCAAAGTCCTAAAAATGATTTTATTTCTTTATTAGTTTTAGGTAATGGGAATTTCTGTATGGCTTCTATTTTATTTGGGTTGGGCTTTATGCCTTCAGTAGTTACAATGTGTCCTAAGAACTCTGTTTCTCTTTTCATAAATTCACATTTGTCAAGTTGTAACTTTTGATTAGCTTCTTGTAATTTAGCAAATACTTTACGTAGAGATAACAAGTGTTCTTCCAATGAAGTGGAAAAAACTATTATATCGTCCATGTAAACTAAACAATCTTTGTAAATTAGGTCTTCTAATAGATTGTTAATACAACGTTGAAATGTTGCAGGTGCGTTCTTCAGTCCAAACGGCATTCGAGTGTACTCGTAATGTCCATTTTTTGTTTTTTGAATCGAGCTTTCATCCATTTGGATCTGATGAAAACCTTTTGCTAAATCTATGGTAGTGAAATATTGAGACCTACCTAGCTTATCTAGTATTTCATCCATGACAGGAACTGGGTATTTATCATCAATAGTAATTTCGTTTAGTTTGCGATAGTCGATTACTATCCTGAACTTTGTTTTACCAGAAGCATCGCTTTTTTTCGGTATTATCCAGATAGGAGAACAGTAGGGTGAGTTCGATTTTCGAACAATGCCTTGTCGAATCATTTCTTTGATTTGTACCTCGACTTCTTTGTCGTAGGCCTGGGGGTATTTGTAAGGTTTCCTATAGATTGGGTCTTCATGTTTAGTTTTGATGACATGCTTTACAGTACTTGTGAAGGTCAAGTTTTCACCTTCTCTGTATTGTATGTCCCTAAATTCTTGAAGAATTTTAGTAAGGGCATTTGACTCTTCTTTATTTAGATGGTCAAGCCTGAATTCATTTGATTCCCTTATCTCGTTTCCTATTGCATAATTTGTGGCTTCATGATCAGTGGATAATGATGGTTGTACAACATTCAAATAGTCGGGGTTGTCTTCTAGGCTACCTTCTCGTTCTGGTAGGTAGTCCATTAAGAAACTGTTGTTGTTTAAAACTACACTTCTTTTGCCAAGGTTTATTTGGGCGTTGGCGTCTTCTAGGAACCCTGTACCTAATATCATATCGTAATTTTCGGAAAAATTATGAATATAAAAAACTTGTTTAGTAGGGCAAAGCTTACTTGGTTTTAGAATTATGATTTTCTCTAGGGTTATTGTACCGTTAATGGTGTGTGTTTGTAAATTAGTAGTTTTAACTGGAGAATTAAAAATGTTTGCTCTTATGATGTGTATTGTAGACCCAGTGTCTATAACACATCGGAGCGGTATATTGTTTAAAACAATATTTATGAAGGAATTGTGTCTTCTTCTTCGTCCGAGCCATGTAGATGAAAATTTTCGGACGTATCCATTTTTGAATGGCCGCTGGTACTAGGTCTTTGCCTTTTTGTTGCCGGATTCGGAGCGGATGAAGAAACTGGATTTTGTTGATAGTTATTGGAATAATTTAAAGGATTTTGTGTCTGTGCTTGGTTGAGTTTTTGCTTAAATTCTTGGAATAGGTGTTCAAAAGGCTGGTCATGGCTGTTATTGTTTTTGTTCATATATTGATTTTTATTTTGGCTAATTGATGTTTGATTATAATTTTGATTTCTATTTTGATTATTTGAAGTGTTGTTATAGTTATATATAGTTTTGGGTATTTTGAGTATTTTGGGATTTTGGGTGATCGGACCATGTACTGTCATAACAACCCTCCTGCTGTACAATTTGCTTTAATTTACTGACTGTTGTTATATCAAATCTGGCTAATTGCATGTAGAGTCTATTTGGGAGTTTTTTAATAATTACGCTTTTTACTGTATTGTTCATTGCGTTTGTATAAATGTGATTATGTAGTTCATTATTTTCTAAAGCTAGCTTATTTGTTATTACGAAGCATTTTGCTTCAAGCTCTTCTATGAACTTACGAACTGATCCATTGAATTGGGTGTTATATAGTCGTCTCAAAAGCTTTTCAAATGGTGTCTGGGTCTTGAACTCGGCGATTAGGGCTTCCTTCAATTCCGGCCATGTATTAGCTGCACTGAGCTGGGATACTCGTTGGGCGTCGCCTCCAATTTGCATTTCGATTGCACTGAAGAGGACGTGTAACTGGCGGACGTCAGTTGATGGATATAGTTGAAGTATGAAGTATACGTATTTTGTTGTTGTGTTGCTCGCTTGCGAATCCAATAACTATACTATGCGATCTGAGTTTGCGGTATAAAATACAAAAATTGCCACTCAAAAGCGGAAGGCGAAACACGCGAAAGGCAGCGCTTGAGAGCCAGTGAAGTGGTGGCCAGTGAGGAGATAACACCGATTGTTGTTATTATTTATATATTTTTTACATATCCGGAATAGAGCCTGGTTCAGATGATTCTCGGAGAGTAGTTGCACTTGTTGTTGTGGTAGTGCCATTGTTGTTTCTCTTGTTTTTGTTTATCACTCCTCGTAGCGGTCCCCCTTTTTGATTTGCGGGCTAAACACTGTCTTTGTCATTGGCAAAACCTGGGGCTTCAGTTACCCTTTAGTGGTCTTGCCTTTGCAGCACTTATGTAATAATTTTTTTTCTTCTAGTAGCGGTCACACTATTATAGTGGGCTACCAAGTTGAAGCGGTTTTAATTATTAAGCACTGTATGACTGGCAGATAGTTACTTCTTGTAGCACGGATTAGCCACAAAGTTGAAGTTAAATCACACACGAAGGTTCTTTGTTGGTCACTATAAGTTTAGGACCACCGACTGCGCCAATAACGAGTTCGCGGTTGTAAGTTTTGAAAAAAATATAAGTTTTTATTTCAAGATAAAAATACAACTTTGAATCGGAGTCAATTCACGTCTTAATGGTATAGCGGATGAATTAGAACTAAACCTGGAGATTTCTCGTACTTTTTAAGTACATGTGTAATATGCTTTTTAATAGAAGATTACAGTCGACCATTAATGTATTAAGCCTCTAACAGCACTTGTTCAATGTAGAGTTATACATATATCTAAAATGATTTGGACCGCATTAGGCCAGCTTACATTTTTAAATCGGACTTACCAATTATCAGAGATACGTCCTACCATCCAAATACCAAAAGATATACTCTCGTATTGCACAATTTTTTCATTCAAAAATCATTCATTTTTTTGCCATTTAATATATATTTTTTGTTCATTAAATATTGTATTAAGTTACAAAAAATGTACATATGTAACAGAATCCTACCTAATAATGTATCTCTTAACTTTGAGCACTTTGGTTACTACATATAATAACAGATGTAATTTGTTATATTAGTATACATACACTGTAGTTAATTCACATTGCTATAATAAAGTAGATTAAGTTAATTGATATTTTGACCACAACTTGTTGTGGTTTCTTCTTCATGTTTGACAAATATTTAAAAGATTATATAATAATAAATATTTGAAAAATTAGTTAAAATTTAAATGTTTATACCAATGAAAACAACAAATAAAGCCCACATCTACACATACCCTTAAACAGTGAAAATTATTCTTAATGTACCTTAACATCCGTTTCAAATATTTTTCAGCAGAATTGTAGACCTTGTCATTTTTTTGACCATTTAATAGATTGTTTTAATTATAATTAGCCTACGTAACATTTGATAAATTGAACCTGAACCTCCTTGTAAAGGAGGACAGCAATACGAACCAATACCACACTATTCTTAAAAATTGAATTGCATTACAAACTCTTGACAGTTTTAATTTTAAAGCTGATAATGGGAAATAGAAACGGCAGAAAACAAAGTTGTATTTTAATGAGCTTTGCTGACACCCAATTTTATTATATCTGGTCGTTAGCACAATATAATCAGACTTGTAGGCAAGGGTCATACGTCCATTACAAATGTGTACTACTACAATTGGCTACTAGCCTGTGCTTTAAAAAGGTCACGTAAATTACATCAACCTTTAATTTGTTTTTCACTTGCATTCATAATTTTTTTAAAGACTGTATTTCGGATTAATTTGGCTTCTTATGCCCGTTCTCCACTGATATTTTCTGTAATTTTGCACAGTTGCAGTTTTTGGAATCACCTTGCAAGAATTGAGGTTGCTTTTTGGATTGCTCCAAGCGTGTCTTGTACGTATATAGGGACTGTAAGGGCACGTGCAAAAGCTCAACGATTTGCGTGAAGTCGACCACTGCGAAAAAAACGATTTATAATAATTAAATATTTAAGTATTACATGACTTTTATGTCATTCAATATTTTTACCATCATCTGCTGTAATGTGCCCGTGTCGGATAAGAAAATCGATCACCACAGGCGCGGAAGTTGTCTTGAAATCTGAAGTAAAAACGCGCTCCACACAGTCCTTTGCTGTTAGCAGCTCGAAGGCCTGGACCTCCCCGTCAGCGTTTTGAGGTACAAAGTCAAGTGGTAGCTCTAAATCAAAAACATATTCGGTGTTGGGAAAAAGTCCTTGGCGGCTTTCAAAGTAAAACGAGACACATCCTGCGGACACCAAATTCTTGACTAGATCACAAGGAATTGATGCCTCCTCTGCAGCCTCCTTAATGGCTGTTTCCTTTATACCAAAGCCGACTGAAAGTCCACCGCCTACCATATTGTCCCACTTTCCAGGCCAGGTCTCTTTTGTGTTTGACCGTTGCTGCAGCCAAATGCATAATCCAAGCGTCGGATGCATTACGTAACCGTTTATATCCACGCCGTACTTGCGTACTCCAAAGAGCGGAGTAGCTGCTCGTTCCATTTTAAGTAAAGCTCTGCAGTCTGCTTTTACCTCAAAATACTCATCTCTCCATCCCTGTAATGCAGGAAAAAGTTCCTCGGATCGCAGGTTACGCAAAACCTTTTCCAGTTGCTCAGTGCGCTCGTTGTAGTCCCGAAAAGCTGGATTTAGCTCTACCAAACCCTGCGGATGTTAAAGTATTTTTACTATCACTCTATATATAGATTGGACTTACCTGTTTAGTTTGCTCACAAGCACGAATGCAAAATACTTCTGGATACTTTTCGAGATGTTTCAAAACATCTGACTTAATAAGACCAACTTGTTGGCCCTCGACCACAAATGGACGAATGTCACACTTATGAAACCCTTTAATAAAAATAAATTTATTAATTAAATTCTCGGTTTTTAATGTTCTTAGTCTTAGCGGAAAATATTTACTCTATATTTAATTGTTATTTTTGAAATTAGCCTAGTTTCGGTCTGTCTCAGAGTCGGGTCAGAGGCTTGAAGAACATTTAAATTAATAATTAAATAAATATATAATAATATTAATACACAATACGATAGCTTTTTTTTTAAATTTTCTTTCTTCCGATGTTGAATAATTATAGGTCAGAGATGAACATGCAAAGCTTTCTTAGACTTCCACCATGACAACTGCTGCACTACGTATATATCCGAAGCTATGGAAAAATACAATATCCGAAAATAATGGATGGGACTGATTTTTATCGTGAAGTTTTCTTGAATAACTACTGCGATTCCGTTATTACCATGCGCCTAGTTCGTTGAAAAGTGTGTAAAGGGTAGAAGGAAGCGTTTCCGCTTGATATGTATATATATTATATCAAGTATATATAATCTTGGTCAGGATCAATAGCTAAGTCGATCTGGCCATGTCCGTCTGTCCGTCAGTCTGCCCGTCCGTCTGCCCGTCCGTCTGCCCGTCCGTCTGTCCGTATAAGCTCCTCGATCTCAGGAACTATACAAGCTAGAACGACCTATACAAGCTAGAACGCTATACGCTATACGCAAGCTATAGCTTGAAGTTGAACTAACTTTTTTAATCGGAATTTTATGGCAAACATACCCAACATGTCGTTTTTCACACGATGAATTTGCCGAAAAAAATATTTCTGTTCCCTAATACAAACGTTAAGTTAAGGGCTGATGATAAATTTTTGTAGATGCCGCGCCGTATAGGTATGATCGGAAATTGGCTAAAGCCCATACTATCTCGAGCATTTCTTTCTCGTTTGGGGCGTAACTTTCTTCTGTTTTATTTAACAGGAGATGTACGAAATTGCTCGGTAACTCGAGCAATGGCGAAGTTTGACGCAAAGGTTTTAAAAAATCTGGGAACGCCAGCACCTCGGAAGGCCATAGAAGGCCTTCAAAGCGTGAGCAACGAGTTCGATCGAAACTCTTTTCGATTGAGATGATTTGATTCGGGCGAATCCCCCGCGGTTTTATTGGTTAAATTGGCTACCTTTGCATAGTCCTTGATAAATTTTCAAATATAATGACGTCATACTAAAGACACTAGAATAATAAGATGCGTAACAGCCATACATTGGTTTTGCACTATGCAGCCACTTTTTTGGTGGCGGCAATAATTGCTCTCTTCCCGCTCGTGTAAAATTGAGAGCATAAAAATCTAAAAATAGAATTCACTTGCTTGTGTGAGTGAAAACAGTAACCAAAAAAGGGTGCATGTGTTCGTAGTTGAGCTAGAAGACGATTTTCGGTCCGAAATCAATTTTGATCTAAGAAACGAATTTCATTAATGTTTTAGTCAATTTCGTTGTAATATGAGCTAATAACATATTTAAATATTGATGCCGTGGCTATTATTTTTTTTGAGAAGTGGTTTTAATATTTTTTAGTTAAAATCGCCGCTCGAATTAGCTACCGTTTATATATAAATATTTTTATTATTAATTATCTGTATTACATATATATTTTTGGTACCCAGGGAGGGGTACCACGGGGTGGACATTACAATTGTAATGGGGTCGTATATTTATATGACCTTCGAGTCGACTTGAAATAATAAATGTTAAACATTAAAATATTTCCATGTTCCCCAACTAAGCTAGTTTTCTAACTATTGCTTTTAGATATAATTTGATCCTTTTTTTAATTCATTTTATTAAATTTTTGTACTATATATATATATATATATATATATATATGTACATATATATTTATTTTTAGTCGTCACTAATTTTTCATTTATGAGATAGAATGCCGAGTTTTGCTTGTTTTTTTTTTGTTTATTAGCTGTCACAGTCCACTTGCAATGCTTAGAAAGTACATTTGTTTGTTAAAGTTTGTTAAGTTTGCTTAAAATATCAGTTTTATGCACATAACAGTCATTATTTGTGTGAAACCATAATGAGAAATCGCTACTTTCATTTGTGCACTTAATGCATTGCTCTACAATAAATTGTCTTATTGTTGTTTTCTATTATTTTTAAAAATATTTTCAAAAACTTTAATGTGTATTTTGCAGATACTTACAAAAAAGAGATCAGATGGTGCCTTTAGTTTTCCAAAGTCCGGTTCTATCGAGTAGTTTTTCTCATGTATGAAATGCTCAAATGGAGCTGTTAAATGCTCGCTTTCTTTTAAAATCAAAAACCTGCATTTATCGCAACTGGATCCCTTAGCAATATATCCAACAAAATATCTACTCGAAGTTAATTCAATGGGTACAATAAATTTAGCGCCCAAAATCCAAAATTGTAGCGCCTAAAAATATCAAATTAGAATATAACAAAAACATTCAAGAAAATAATATTTGCATTTCAAATACTGAAAATTTGTCATTTACATAAGTTTGCATATTTTTTTTTGCTTGTATACTAATAATTTTTACTAATAAATATACTAAATTGTTAAAAAACTTCATATGCAACCCTTGTTTTTTGCAAATTGAATTCTTGAATTCACTTAAGAATCACTAAGATCAAATATATTTTTCACGTCGCAAGCTGAATACTCTATCGACATATTTTCTAGTATAAAGTAATTTATTAAAATAATTCCGTATTATTATGTACATTTATTCACCTATTACTATTTCTATGATGTAATTAATAATTATCATGTTAAGGCAATGCAAGATTAGAGTTTTTACTTTTTACTTGCGAGTACTTTGTACTCGATTGCTAGAGTAAAATTAATATAGATTGAAATACCATAAACTTCTGAAGTGAAGGGCATATTTGGTCAAATTTGCACACATACAGTGCTCGGCTGTCGCTGTGTGCGTACAAGAGAGCTGCTGGCTCTAGAGCGCTCTCTCTCTGGCTCTTGAACAAAAAATCGTATTCAAAAAAATCGTATGGCGTCACTCATCTTATTATTCTAGTGTCTTTGGTCATACCTAGGAAACTCCTTATCTCTTTTACGTTAGTTGGAGGTTTTATTTTCATGTCGCCTCCTACCTTTTTTGGTGGGCTCTAATTCCGTTCGCGGTTACTACATAGCCTTAATAATCCTACCTGCGTTGAAAGGATGTGAGACTTTTGGTTGGTATTTCTTAAGTTGTTGAAGACAGCCCAAATGTTTTTCTTCTTCGCTGAAGACGATTATGTTATCGATGTCATAGCAAATTGGCAAATACAATGTGTTCCTTCAGAACATCTTATATCATTCTTTGGGACACCGCTGGGGTATGTTTTAAACCAAATGGCAGACGAAGGAACTAGAAAGTGGCTCAAAAATTGAAATTGAAAGTGGCGAACATTCGGTAATAAAAAGAGCATTTAGTGCCTCTCTTGCACATTCGGGATGCGTTGCGTTGCACATTGCGATGCGTTTAGAGAACTCCCAGTGTGTAAAAGTCTGTATCAGGGCTTTTAATGCCTTGAGGGTATCATCGCCTATCATATCGTTACAGGAGCTTAGTCCGGGAAGGACAACGAAGGTGAGAACTATATTGTTTCCAATTGTATTAAAAAATGGTCCGGTAAGACGTTGCGTGAATTTCATAGCGCCCGCAGAGACTGGACAAAGGGTGTTGAGGGTTTTTGCACCGGCAGAATTTCTGGAGCTTACACAATTCTTATTAGCGCCGGTGTCTATGAGGAATTGCAACTTGACCCCATTTTTCGTACCATAATCTATGTAGACTACCGCTAGAGAGGTAGACCACACAATTTTCTACCCCGTCGCTAACACATTCCACCTCTTTGCCAAGGGAATTCTGATCGTTTCCTTTACCATTTTTGGAATGTTCTTGGTGATATTCGCTCGCGGCAGAGCCCGATACCGTTAGGATTGGTCCTAAATAGCAAAGCCTCTGGGCTTCATGGAAACGGTTCAGGTTGAAGTTAGCGCTCGGGCTTCTCTTGATGTCGCCGTTCCTTCATATCGTGAGTTAAAATTAGATATGTAGCTTTGTCGTGATTGATTGGTTTTTTTGATTTTGATTGGTTTTTGATTGCATGTCTAACCCCTTGGAATCGGGGCATTCCCCAAGAAATACGTTTCGGACCGTAATACGAAGAACCTACTGGAGCCCTGGAAGAGGAAATCGGGGCGAGTTCGGTTGTCGGTAATTCAAAATTGTATTATCAGGTCATACTCGGTGCGCAGACGCGTCAAGGCTGGCGGTACTTCCTCCACTGGATTGCGCTTCTCGTAGTCCGTTTTTAAGGTACTAGCACCAATTTCCTAATTTCCTGTTTAACCCTTAGGTTAATGGGTCATCAGAGCCATGATCGTGACATCTAACCGAATCAGAACTTCGTATCAATTAATTCCTCTGGAGCATGCGGTGCTGCTGTTGATTCTCGGTCTGTTATCCCGCTTATATCCTCGATTGAGGGCCTTGTGCACTTTTAATACCCGTTACTCGTAGAGTAAAAGATTCGTTGAAAAGTATGTAACAGGTAGAATGAAGCGTTTCCGACCATATAAAGTATATATTCTTGATCAGGATCTATAGCCGAGTCGATCTGTCCATGTCCGTCTGTATAAACATCGAGATCTCAGAAACTATGAAAGCTATAAAGTTGCATGCAGATTCCAGACACACAGACACGCAGCCCAAGTTTGTTAAATTATGTTACCACGACCACACCACCGCCTACATTATTATTAGTCAGGTAAATTTTTATAGATTTGCCAAAAAACTTTTTTCCACGCCCACTCTAACGCTGATCGACTACCTTGTATAGCATGCTCTCTTGTTTTCTTTTGTTTATTGTTGCATGCCAAGGTGTATAGAAATTGTTTGGAAACGAACTGCGGACGAAAGGACACGACTTAAAATGCTCCCCTTAACTGGGTGTATCTGCCCGAATTTTTATATTCTTGTTACTTTCGTTAAGCTTTCTAACCAAAGTCCAAAAGTC